ACAATAGTCGACGATGGGTTACGAAGATAAAATTCATTTTCATTCTTAATCACTGTCATATAAAAAAAACAGAGCATATCATTTCAACACCTTAAAATTCGTGGCAAAGGTATTATGTATTACTACCGCCGGATATTTTGCAGTTACGCAAAGTCAACGATAAAAACAACAATGGTTAAACATAATTCAAAAAAGGAAACAATAAACAAGGCAATTATTTGACTATGAAAACTCAGGATATGAAAGCAGTGTATAGATTTCACCTGGGGAATCCGTATAAGTACATTTCTTGAGATCCGCTTCAGTTGGTGTCAGTCCGAGGGCTCTAACTATCTCCGCTATATATTTCGCTTCAATCTTCTCATCTTCCCCGTTTGTATACAACATAAACAATTCTCGGGCATCTATGGGAGTTCAAAAGACTAAAAACTACTAACCCTGCAACTCTTTTTCCGGCAAGTCCGACATATTGCAACCAAACCTTTGTGCGCAATTAGGCTTTCTGGAAGTAAAATGCTCAAGTCGAGAAAGACCACAAATTCAACCTTGACCTCGCCTAAGTTTACTTTGAAAATAAGGATGTGATTCTACAGGAGTCACTAAGATAATTAAACATAGGTTGGGTACGTAAGTGATTAAAAAAAGAAGGAAACTGAGACGGTACAGAATGAGTCGACCAGGCGATCAAATATGGACTTCTATGACCGGCGAAAATGGCCACACTCAAAGATTCAAGCCCATTTCCCGCAATAAGTTGGCCTGGTGGGAACAAGAGAAGTATAAGGCCGCTGTTGGTGACCCACAAGGTTAAATTTAAGTAAAACACCGTAAAAGGTAAATATATTTCGTATTATATACAGAATCGCCACTTCTGGATCGCTTGGCGGAATCCAAAATAGCGACAGTACTAGGTCACTTCATTTTGTCATTTATATTAGAGTTGTTCTCGATAGACGTACTGGCCTCCTTGAAAAATCGGCTTAGCGTAAAAAAACCGCTGGTTGTAAGCCAAAGACGCACTGAGTGTGGAATACGTCTCAAGTTTGTAGTCCTAGGGGGCTGTAACCTATAGATTGCGCAATAACAGCTTTGACCAATCGCTTATCCCGCGTACGCCTCGCGGTATCACACTGGTGAAATGTATCCCTTGCAGTTATATGATTTCTTTTCAAGACAAAGTGTTTCAAACTACCACAGGCTCTCATCAGCACGACGGCCCTATTACACCCGTACATATTATTCTCCTACGTGGTGGTTGGCTATTTTCTCATTAAAACCCCTAAATCCCATAAAACTTATAGATGTCCCGAAAAGCGAGAATAATTTTTCCGCGCTATACTGTCCGTCTACACCTTTAGCTTCCATGTCTTTTTGCGAAGCACTTTTTTTCTCGGTAAAGAAGAAAGAGAGTCGAACACCGGAACGCTTCCTTTGTTATTCTGAGCTTTCGGACTCCTAAAAGTGTCCATCGTCAGAGATAAAAAGCAGCAGCCCCCATTTTTGCTCTTTTCTATCTCTGACTATGGACTCCTGTGGGAGTCCGAATGGCCAGAATAACGAAAAAATCGTTCCGGTGTTCGACTCTCTTTCTTCTTTACCGATGCAAACACCTGGACCGCGAACGTTCTCTTTCATTCGTGAGTATTTTCCTCGTACGGTTTTCTGCAAAAGTGGGTGGATCTTTGAATTCTGCTTCTTGTTTGATCGTAGAAATTTTTCATCGCTTGTTTCTTGGTATACCATATTTTTTAATTTAAAAAAGCCAAATCGCTGTTGGATGTAAAAACTGACTAATATACTGTGCGGTTCTATTGACATTTCTGCCAAGTTTTCACCTACAGTTTAGTTCAATGAAACATTTACAGGCCACTTTAATTTCTTTCTTACTGCGCACATGTTCCGCACAATTCAAGCATTAAAAATTTTACTATGAAATTCGTAAGACATTTGCTCGAGGATTTCGCCCCTGAACGGCCATAGGATAAGTTCGCGAATGCATGGAAACATTTGCGTTTCAAGTATTTGTATGAATGACGAAGATGCGTTGTCGAGCACGAGATCAATTTGTTTATTGTTCTGACCTTTCGGGCTCTTGTGGAAGTCCATCGTCAGATATAAAGAAATCCACGAAAAACAAGCAACAGTTTTAAGGGGCAGGAGCCAATCAACCGTTATACGGGGAGGAAGGAGGAGTAAACTCATTAATCATCAGTGTCGGCCGTGCGGATATGCGTGCGGAGCGTGATGTATGCCAGCGCCAGCTCGAAAGATCGATTGGCTGTAGTTGGTCGAGGACCCACGCTCTGGGAGCAGGAATCAACGCCGGACACAAGCACACACATAACCACTGACAATTCGTTAACTGCTGCTCAAAGCTGCTCAATCGAAAAATATGCTCTGCGAGTGATGTGCTCGTTACATGAAATCTTCTTACGTGTGTCTGTTCGTCACCAGGGGTTCCACTGTAAGCGCAACACCAACGCTAACTTTTATCTATAAGCTATGAGAGAACGCAATACCCGACTACTAAATTAATAGTCTTAATACAAAAGACCCAGTTAATAAAGGTAGTGCACACTGTTTACCTCGGATCAGGGAAATAAGTACAGGAGAATCTGAAAAATGCAGTCCTTATTCTAATAACACATAAGTCTAAGCAAATATGGACTTCGCGTAAGCCAATGCGACCGGAGGAGATTAGAGTATAGCCAAAAGCGACAATCTTCATTTAAAAAACGTAAAAGAATAGTGGAATTTTTGAAAATCTTCTTGCGTTTTATCTTCAGAAACCGTTCAATAGCACGAGGACAAAAAACCGCAAACCCGGGTGTTATCTATATACAAAACTAAGCATGCCCTAAAAGATCATGTTGTAGGGAATTCCGAAAAATATAAGATAAGGGAGTTGTTTTTTCCACTTTACTAATTGCCGTCAACCCGATATACTCAAAACCATTTTGGGATGGTCAGGGATATGAAGTCGTATTCTTTGTTGATGCAAGGATTGCCACCTTAATTTTATACCATCCAGACCTAGTTCCACTGTTCTGTAATTTGAGATCAGTGAACTAATTAAGGTGAAGGATTTTAACAAACAGGCAGATCGTACCCAGCCATTCGTGCCCTGAGGGCTAATCCAGATCCTAATGTCAGTTGATACCCCTTGAAACTGTACAAGCAAGCTTGCCGTGAGAGATATAGATCATACAGAAAACAGTTTGGGTTGGTACGGAAGAATAGAGACTTGAAGCCTTGTACATCTGTAAATATGTGCTAATAGGTGTGTGATAGTGTAGAAATCATTAATAAGTCCTACTTTATTGTGTTAGGATGGTAGCCTGACCAAAGACTAGCAACCTTGTCGGGTCTCCTAAG